GGACTGAAATTTTCATAGGGAGAATCTATCATCATGTTATACTCTGTCAATCGGACTGGTGTGTTCTCTTGAATGAGCATAACTTTTTTATTCCTCAATGAAATTTTGCCAGTTTGGTATTATTTTGCTCGCAATAGCATGTACTTTTTAAATGTAAAATGATAAATTGCAAAAGGACTGAAATTTTCATAGGGAGAATCCATCATCATGTCATATTACTCCGATAATTGTACTTAAGTCTGGTGTGTTCTCTTGAATGAGCATAACTTTTTTATTTCTCAATGAAATTTTGCCAATTTGATATTATTTTGCTTGCAATGGCATGTATTTTCTACATGTAAAACGATAAATTGAAAGAGTACTGAAATTTTCATAGGGAGAATCCATCATCATGTGATACTCTGTCAATCGGACTGGTGTGTTCTCTTGAATGAGCATAACTTTTTTTATTTCTCTATGTAATTTTGCCAGTTTGGTATTATTTTGCTCGCAATTGCATGTACTTTTTAAATGTAAATTGATAAATTGAAAGAGGACTGAAATTTTCATAGGGAGAATCCATCATCTTGTCATATTACTCCAATAATCATACTTAAGTTTGGTGTGTTCTCTTAAATGAGCATAACTTTTTTATTTCTCAATGAAATTTTGCCAATTTGGTATTATTTTGCTTGCAATATAGCATGTATTTTCTTAATGTAAAATGATAAATTGAAAGAGGACTGAAATTTTCATAAGGAGAATCCATCATAATGTTATACTCTGTCAATCGGACTGGTGTGTTCTCTTGAATGAGCATAACTTTTTTATTTCTCTATGAAATTTTGCCAGTTTGGTATTATTTTGCTTGCAATTGCATGTACTTTTTAAATGTAAATTGATAAATTGAAAGAGGACTGAAATTTTCATAGGGAGAATCCATCATCATGTTATACTCTGTCAATCAGACTGGTGTGTTCTCTTGAATGAGCATAACTTTTTTATTCCTCAATGAAATTTTGCCAGTTTGGTATTATTTTGCTCGCAATAGCATGTACTTTTTAAATGTAAAATGATAAATTGTAAAAGGACTGAAATTTTCATAGGGAGAATCCATCATCATGTCATATTACTCCGATAATTGTACTTAAGTCTGGTGTGTTCTCTTGAATGAGCATAACTTTTTTATTTCTCAATGAAATTTTGCCAATTTGATATTATTTTGCTTGCAATGGCATGTATTTTCTACATGTAAAACGATAAATTGAAAGAGTACTGAAATTTTCATAGAGAGAATCCATCATCATGTGATACTCTGTCAATCAGACTGGTGTGTTCTCTTGAATGAGCATAACTTTTTTTATTTCTCTATGAAATTTTGCCAGTTTGGTATTATTTTGCTCGCAATTGCATGTACTTTTTAAATGTAAATTGATAAATTGAAAGAGGACTGAAATTTTCATAGGGAGAATCCATCATCTTGTCATATTACTCCAATAATCATACTTAAGTTTGGTGTGTTCTCTTAAATGAGCATAACTTTTTTATTTCTCAATGAAATTTTGCCAATTTGGTATTATTTTGCTTGCAATATAGCATGTATTTTCTTAATGTAAAATGATAAATTGAAAGAGGACTAAAATTTTCATAGGGAGAATCCATCACTATGTTATACTCTGTCAATCGGACTGGTGTGTTCTCTTGAATGAGCATAACCCTTTTATTTCTCAATGAAATTTTGACAATTTGGTATTATTTTGCTTGCAATAGCATGTACTTTCTAAATGTAAAATGATAAACGGAAAGAGTTAGGACTGAAATTTTCAAAGGGAAAAATTAAGGAGATAAAAACAATTTCCATTCTCCTGTAGGAAAATATATTCTATAAAACATTATTATAGAGAACTTTTAATCCTATTTGTGACAATTATGGAACTTCTTGTCCCATTTCACAACTTATGGGATAAAATATCCCATGTAAGGTTTAAAATGGGAATTTTGATTCTATAGGAGAAAAAATCCCACAGAACTCATTTTTCTACAACAGAATAATGGTGGGATATTGGTTAGGAGAGAAAATCCCACCATAATCCCATGGGATTTCTTGATTTCAGGTGTAATATCTTTTAAACTGGAAGATATTCAGGTGTAAAGGTTAGTCCATGTTGTGCGATTAAAAAAATCCCACCGGATGACATAATCTTTTTCTATGTATCTTTGGAAAAGTGGTTGGCGAAAGTCCGGATAAATGTCGTGTCCGGAGTTAAATGTCGCACTGTTTTATGCAACTGTTGTAGTGATTGGTAAGTGATACGAATTCTTGCGTAATGCGTAATTATGTGAAACAGGTAGGCATTGATTGACCATTTCTTGCAAATATTCAGGTGTATAATCATTAAGTATTTTGTACATAAGTGTAAGCTTATGTTTAGTTCTTCTTTCACTAAGCGTTTGCCATCCTAATTCATGATACAATTTTTGTTTCGAAGAATTGCGCCTTAACCCAGTAATTATACGCCCAGCCTCTATTTGCACACTCTCTAATAGATTACTCTGTTCCTGTGTGCAATTATCCCATACTACATTTCCATATTCTAAAATAGGCCTTATAAAAGCAATATAAATACTAATAAGGGAATCTCTGTTTAATTTGTATTTAAGGGTGCGAAGAACATTTAAACGTTGACATGCTTTATCATATATTTTGGATATATGTTCTGACCAACCACCATTGGATTGTAGTATAAGTCCAAGGTGGCAGTGACTTTGCTGTTGTTCTATGTAACTATTTACATAACCAAATGAGATTTGTGGATGAGCTTTATTTGACCGGGTAAAATTAACATTTACAGTTTTGCTAGGGTTAAAGTCTACCATCCATTGTCTGGACCATTGTTTAATTTTTTCCAAGTCATTAATTAAAGAGACGGCAGGGGCTTGTGTATCAGAGTCTACAATTACAAACAAAGATGTATCATCTGCAAATAACCTAATTTGATTTTCTAAATCTTCAGTTATGTCATTAACATATATCAAAAAGAGGAATGGTCCTAATACCGAACCTTGTGGGACGCCTGCATTTATACTTTCTCTAACTGAGGAGTACCCTTCTAATAAAACTTTTTGTTCACGATCAGTAAGATAGTTTTCAATCCAATCCAATATATTTCCGACAACACCATTCTGCTTAAGCTTAAATAATAACCCCTTATGCCAGACCTTAATAAATGCTTTTGATATGTCACAGAAAACAAATCTTACATCTTTGCCTTGGTCTAAATTGCTTATAATAGTATTGTATATTTCTAGAAGCTGATTTACGGTGGAGTCCCCAGGTTGGAATCCAGACTGATTCTTGGATAAAAGATTTTGATCCATCATATAGTTGTGGAGATGTTTGAAAATAATTTTTTCCATAATCTTACAGAGAATACTAGTTAAAGCAATAGGTCTGTAGTTTCCTGGTTCTTCGGGACTACCTTTATTTTTATAAACTGGTGTAATATTTGATAGTTTCCATATATGGGGAAGCTGTTTGCTGGTTAATGATGCATTAAACAATTTTGCTAGGGGTGCAGTGATAGACGGAATTATATTTTTCAGTATATGTGGAGAAATATCATCTGGTCCTGGGGGCTTAGATGGGTTGATATTATGTAATTGATCCTCCACTTCTTGGGGTGTAATATGAATTGTGTTTATTGAATATGGTGGACCTGGCCCTTGAGGGGGTAGTTGGGATTCTGTGTTTTAGGTATATTTTTGTCAACATAATGGTTATATATCTTCATAAAGTTATCATATATGTCATTGATATTGTGTGTATTAAATATCTCTCTATCCCAATCAACATTTGACAAATCTGTGCATAGTTGTGAGTAGTTAGCTTTTGTATAATTTCTTATGTATCTTTTATATGAGTGTTGCTTGAATGTTTTAAAATGTAGATCAACACCAACTGGACTATGAGTGCTACAAAAAGGTGTTAAGATATTTACAGTTTCTATTTTTTCAACAGCATTGGTAATAATAAGATCAATACATGTACCTTTTGATCTTGAAAAATTTGTTGGTTTTGTAACAACATTTGATAAAGAAAAATTTTGCAACATGTTTTTAAATGCAATATTACCATTAGCTTTCATATCAAAATTGAAGTAGCCCAATAGAAATATTGGTAATTCAGTATTCAAAGCACTTTCAATAGATAGTGCAAGTTGGATTTACAAAGTCTGCTTTTGCACTAGGTGGTCTATATATTACACCAACTAAGAATTTGTGATTACCATTTTCAATCTCAATCCATATAATTTCAATATTTGAAGTAAGGATATCTTCATGTTTCTTGAAACTGAGGTTACTTTTAACATAGATCATAACACCACCTCCATACCTGTTACGATCAAGTCTAACGGGTGCCTGAAATCCTTCAAGTTCAATATCATTGTCAGTTATAGATTGGTCTAAATGACTTTCAGTAATAGCAACAATATCATAATCACATAGTTCATTATATATAATGTCAATTTTAGGGAGAATGCTACACACATTATTATGTATAATTTTTATATTGGAGTTCAATGTAGGACCTGGATTGATTCCAGTGCCTTCTATAATGAGTAAATAATAGATTACCAAGTAATAATATAAGGACATACCTTGAAAAATTCTATCCCTTACACATCGTTTTGCACATGGTTGTGGGAAATAATTTGTGTCATTCTTAGTCATTTGTATCAAAAATCAAGTTGGTATGATCAGAAAATGCCACAACCATTGTAGGAAAAACCCCTACATAAACAAATACATGGGCGCAGACATTTTGGACACCCAAGGTTGTGCGGAGGAGAAATGCTAGCTGGCGCGTGATTGGTCAATAATGGGAAAAGACTTGTTATGTATTTGACAAGTGAAATAAAGTTGATAAAAATCTCATATCAAGACTTGGGTTTCTTTGAGGTATATAGGAGTTACAGGTAAAAATTTGAAGGGAGGGATGCACTTTGGTTAGAGATTTTCATTTGGTGTCAACGCACCTAGTTGTAAACAAATGGAAATTGAAAGTAAAAGTGCAACGGCACGGTATATTTTTTCTGGCATTTTTTGTTTTCCAATATCTCGAACTTTCACGACAAAAAGACCATTTTCCCGAAATTCAATATATGTATCAGTGAGAGGTGCTAAAGTTTGTATGGAAGTCTATGGGAAAACATTTGGTGGTGTTTGTCCTATAGAAAAGGTAGGATTTCATGGATAAAAATTGATTACAGCCAAAAAAATCAATCAGTTCCTATTTTTTCGGCATTGGGATTATATTTTAGTTAGTTTTGACTATTTGTTTAAAAATTAGAGGGTCTGGGTAAATTGGGGCTCACAATGGGACTGCACATAGTGAAAAAATGCCAAAATTTGTGCCCTAGCTCTCATATTTTCAATAAATGAACATGTAAATAATTTTAAATAAATATTTATACCGAAATTTACTGTGAATATTGTAAATAATACAATATCAATATTATGGGCATCATCAATACACAAAACATATGAATATCCCCCTCGCAGTTTGAGAAATTCATTTAAATCCATGTATTTTATGAGTGTAGACATTGGAACAGATTGAATAATCCTCTTTAACTTGTGTTAATCAATAGGTGATTGAATAATTTATAACAAAATTTGACTGCTGTTAGCTAATTAGGGTACTTTGTTTTTACATAAGGGGCATAATCCAGCAGAAAAGCCAGTTTCAGTCATGTAATCAGTGCTGGCTTGAAATAAGAGTTATACTATTGGTGAAACTTAGAGATTACTAGTAGGAAATTTAATTTAAATTACAGTACAATATATTCTTGCTGAAAAGACATCCAAAATGCAATAAATGTGCAAAATTATAACTGAAAAAATTATGAAAAAGGTGTCTGAATATCCCTCCTCGCCATATCCAATCTTGATATTCTGCTGAAAGGGGGGGGGGTAATTTTGTGCTTTAATCATGCTGAAAAATGAAGGAATTTTGTTTAAATTTGGTTTATTTGAATAACAAGAGTCATGCTTATCTGCAGTTATTTTTTTCCAATTTCTTTGATATTTTTAAAAGTAATTATCTGAGTAAATTCTATTTAACATGATTTTTTTTAAAGGTATTACATCACAAATGCTTAAAAGAAATTCAAAAGATGGTGTAAATAATAAAAAATTAAGATATAAGCTGCTATATGCATTTATCAGTATGTTTTAATAAAATAAAATGTATTTTAGCAATGCATTATCAAGAAGGAAGAGATTAATGAACCCTACCCTCTTACAATGAACAAAACATGGACACTCTCGGGATGATCCTTTTGCTTTCATTAAGAGTTCCAAGGTATGGTTTTCTTAGAAAATCTAGTTAATCTCTTAATATTTAAGTTATTTAGAACTTTTTATAGATTATCAGAAAATAAATTTCCTCAGAACTGCAGTTATTTAAACACTTTCCGTACAATTGAGCACTGTATTCAGTCAGACAATATGATTTATCTGCCCTTGGCATTTAATCAATTTATTAATTATGTCAATAATAAGAAATGATATGCAAATAAATATATTTGCCTTTTACATGAGAATATACATATTTAACATCAATTACATGAAATGATGATGAAAATTGGCTAAAATGTAGGTCACCCCCCTTCAAAATTACAAAATTTTCAATGGGGATGTATTTGATTCTCTGATGCCAGCAACCCACTGCTGAAAGATTTTTTTAAATCTTATGTACATTTGAACTAGATATAATTCTCTTTCTTTCCACTGATTATTCTATCTACATTAGTTTTCACTCTTTCCATAACCCAGCTTTTTCCTTACAAAAACCTGCTGATTTTCTTCATTTTTCATTAATAACGGGTACCGTGACCCCTAATGATTAACATGATCTACCTTCAGAAATTATTAGAGATAATAAGAAAAACAAGCAAAACATAAGCGAAATTAATCATTTTATTTTAAAAGTTTGAAAGAAAAATAGAGAAATGCTTCAATTTATAGACATTTTTTCTGTTTCACAGATGTGGGTCTGATTGACTGGGGTGTGAAATGTAACAGCCAATGGTGTACTTAAGCTTAAGACTGTCAGTCCCAATATTCAAGAGGTGAGATAAGCAATGGATATGTGTTCTAAATTTACTAAATTGACCACTTTTTAAAAATGTTTCTTTTACTCTATAGGAAAAACCCCTACATAAACAAATACATGGGCGCAGACATTTTGGACACCCAAGGTTGTGCGGAGGAGAATGCTAGCTGGCGCGTGATTGGTCAATAATGGGAAAAGACTTGTTATGTATTTGACAAGTGAAATAAAGTTGATAAAAATCTCATATCAAGACTTGGGTTTCTTTGAGGTATATAGGAGTTACAGGTAAAAATTTGAAGGGAGGGATGCACTTTGGTTAGAGATTTTCATTTGGTGTCAAACGCACCTAGTTGTAAACAAATGGAAATTGAAAGTAAAAGTGCAAACGGCAACAATATTTTTTCTGGCATTTTTTGTTTTCCAATATCTCGAACTTTCACGACAAAAAGACCATTTTCCCGAAATTCAATATATGTATCAGTGAGAGGTGCTAAAGTTTTTTGGAATCTATGGGAAAACATTTGGTGGTGTTTGTCCTGTAAAATTGACAATTTCACTTTGTAATAAAAGTAAACACTAAAAGTGCAGGCTAGCCAGAAGTGGTAAGAACCGAATTAAAAAAACAAGTTGAAAAAGAAATGAACATAATAAGAAAAAGGTATACAACATAAATACATGTATATACAGTAAAAATGAAAACCATATCGATGAATATATGCAGATTAAATAACTAATCAGTGTGCTATATATATGGCCTGGTCATGTATTTCGTTGATTAGTCTGCCCCTGCGTACTGGTAATCGTGTCACAAGCCTAGAAACCCTGAGTTTTTTTGCACGTGGGGGTGACAGATTTGCACCAAGTATGCGGCAAGGAAATAAATTGTTTACGGCCGTCGAATTAAATTCAGATGGAAAGTTTTCCATACGTAAAACGTCTAGTCCCTATAGGCAGCATTAGCGGGATTTGAGGTAAGTGGTGCAAACTCTTGATGCAGTTCAAGAGATAGGGGATCAATTGTTACTCAAGGAAAGTATGCAGTTTGTGGAGGCCCTCCTCGGTCTCTATGGTGAATTTTTTCTTCCCTAGTGTCTTAACAATTATCTTTCCATCATACGTCCATGCATTTTCCAACTGATCATTGCTCTTTACAAGTTTCCTAACCTCGAATAGGAGATGGGCTCGCTTTTTTGTAAGTGCCTCATTGATGAAAATCTTGTATCTGTTATATTCGGTTAAGCTTTCAGATTTTTTTTTTCACTAGGTCAACTGGTCAGGTTTGGACATTTTCTTTTTAAAGGGCCCTTTTTTTTCTCGACAATTTTTATCTTGTTAAATGTTGTTTTCGGTCTCATTTTGGGAAATTTTAAAATTTCCCCGAAAATTAGAAATTATATATCCCTTTTAAAAAGTCTAAGAGATGAAAACAGGGTTGAATATGTTGAATCTGTGAGCACTGATTTTAATTAATAATTTATTTATTTATTCATTTATTTTAATGTTATACGTTTGTAATGTCCAAGAATTAAACTCCTCCACATGACTGTACGTATGTACAATACACACCGTATGCATGTGCAACCGGCAAATGGGGCGAGCTGATAAAAAATTGAGGTTAAGAATCCCTAGAACAAAGGTACATGTGTTTAGTTTGTCTTTAAAATTTCAATACAAAATACATTTTTTATAAAGTAATCATTTTTGAAATCTCATTAATTTTTTTTTAATTTAATTTTATGGAATGGGAAATAAGAACTGAAATGAGACTTAATTTTATATGTTACTATAAGTATATGATCAAATTGATCGTTTTTAATTTTGCATGGTAAAAAGTTTTAAGGAAAACACCTTTAAATTGATTTCAATTGATCAGAAATCGGTGATCGACCTGTGATTTGGCTGTATTGTGTACATGTCTTCACCCCCGGGGTAGGGGGGAAAATTTGTATATTCCATGCAAATTGTAGTGGTCAGCGTAACAATGGGCACTAATTACCTATTTTTCCCGTCTGCGGCTACCGGTGTTATCAATAAACAAACTACCTACACTGTACATGTACTCGCTATTTTGGGAACAATTTAAAGTTTACAGACGCACGAAAAACAAAATTCCGTAATATTGAATTTGATGACGAATAAAATTGATAGAAAAAATATTTAAAAGAACACTTTATAAAATAAAAATAGAAGATATATACATGTACATCTTGTACGTTGTACAGATTTATTTTAATTATTAATTCACAAAGATCTATCTTTCTTCAGTATTTAATTTAATTTTTAGTTTTACGCATATTTCTTCAATCAATAAATTTTATTGAATCTTTTTACTATTTTACAATAGTATGAGACCACAAAAACATATAAAATGTAGGTGATTTTATACATAACGTAGGTCTAAAAGGAGCGTGAATAAGAAACTAAAAAAAAAAAAAAATGTAGGTTGCTATAAATGCGAAGTAAAGGAATTTAGGCCGGGGAGTTTTTTCGTTTATCAGATAAAAGAATATTCCGGGGGAGGTGGTCACATGTATTTTCAATTCTGAATTTCTGTTAACGATGGTTTGTGACCGGTAAATACGTAGACAGAAATTGACTTCATTTTTTAAATTTTAAAAAAAAAAGTGTGCAAAATTCAATCATATTAATAAAAAGAGAAAGATGGTTTAGTGAAAGCATTTTTTGAAATAATATTGGCATTAATTTTTCACAATTTAGATGGGGAAACTCCACTTCGCTAAATCCGAGAAAAAAAACCTTAAATGTATGGATTTTGAATGTCAAAAACATGATTGTTTATCGCACTCATGAATAAATTTTAATTACTTCGTTTTAAATTTTGTATTGTTCATTGCAATTGATTCTCAAAATATTTTTATTCATGCATTTAAAAAATTCGATAAGTATAATATCATAACTTGCATGACTTATAAAACACACAATTAAAGAACAGACCTTGCCCTATCGGCTATCACTTAAATGTAAACAGTATTTAACCCCCCCCTTTCCCTTTTTTTGCTACAATCAAGTAAAATCATATAAGCACCCATTGTATATTCGTTTATACATAGGTCTCGGACAAAAATGGAATTTAAAAAAATATATAATCTCTGTACAAAATTCTAATTTTACAAAAACGCAAGCCGTAACGATATCCCTATGGCAGAATGTACTAATAATTGACCCGATTCTAAAAAAAAGTAGAACTTTTACACGTGGTTGACATGTATGTTCCAGAACAAGAAGCAAAATTGCATTAATGGAAAATTTTAATTCACGTTTTGATTTATTTTATTTTGTTTTTTAACTGACTGACCGCATATAACATGTTTAAGGAGTGGCGCATAATATTAGAAGCAATATGCCCATAGACTTGAAACTGTATGTACAATGAAAAAAGAATTAGCCTAAAAAAAGACGTGTATTTCATCGACTGAAAATCACACTGCATAAGATTTATGTATGTATTAAAACAAACCTTTAAAAAATAATTTTTAAAAAAAAGAGAGAGAGAAAGCTAGAAAGCGACACAATGATATAAAACGCAGGGAGGACATGGAGAACTAGAGCGGCTGTCTACATAATATATAAAAAAAAAAAATTTAAATTTAAAAATGTTTCAATTTAATTATTTAACCCTGTCACATTCTTCTATAAAATAACAAAGTGTACGCTTCAAGATAGATTTTATGACAAATATTTAATACTGTCTTGTTAAAATGAGAGCTTAATTTAAAAGTAAATGGAAAGGGGGGGGGGGGGTTTTTTTCAACTAAATGTGCTCATACATTTTCAGTTCTCCACATGGTAAAATAAATTGATATTTACAACCACTGACTGTGTTGAAGTATTTAAAAATACCCACAAAAAGCTTTTGATGACAGTACACATACATGTGAGAAAAAAATATGAGATAAGATTTCTTTTAACCTTTATGAATAAAAATTAAACTTTTTAAAAAAAAAATACTTGGGAAGAAAAACCACTGCAAATACAACAGAATAATTTTCCTCAGGTAATGTCATCTACATTTAAAGAAAAAAAAACCATTTATGAAAGCTTATGTTAGCATTATGATCTAAAAATGATTATAATAAAATTAATAGCTGAAAACTGAAAACAAATTAATAAAACGTGACTTTTTTTTTATTTTAAAAAATTTATTTTATAATTTACTGTAATGAATTTATTAAAATACTTTTTTTTAAAAAAACAAATAATCATTTCTCAGGCTATTTTAATCCATTCCCAGGTTAAAAACAATGACCACAGCAATTATCAGTAAATCTCAGCATCGACAGTACCTCAACAGTAATTATCAGTAATTCTCAGCAGCGACAGTACCTCAACAGTAATTATCAGTATTTATACACTCCACAGTAAAAGACGACAGTAATTATCAGTATTTATCAGCAACAACTAAAATTATCAGCAACAACAGTAATAATAACAGTAAATATCAGTATTTATCAGCAAGAACAGCATCGTATCAGTAATTATCAAACATTATCAGTAAAATTTTGGGGTTCTCAGCACATTTTTGTCCAGTAGTGCAGTCAAGGTCACCAGGTCATTGACCTTGGTGTCATTTGAAAGAACTTGATTAGTGGAGTATGCACACCAAATATGAAGTCTCTGTCTTTTTTGGTTCAAAAGTTATGGTGAAAGTTACCAAAAAAGCTTTTTTTAGCATATAGGTCACAGTCAAGGTCACCAGGTCATTGACCTTGGTGTCATTTGAAAGAACTTTATTTGTGTAGTATGCATATTAAATATGAAGTCTCTTTCTTTTATGGTTCAAAAGTTATGGCGAAGGTTAAAGTTTGCAGACAGAAAAGCTATTTTTAGCATATAGGGCACATTCAAGGTCACAAGGCATTTAAAATTTTGTGTCAATTGAAAGCAACTTATTAGTGAAATATGCAAACTAAATATGAAGTATCTACCTTTCATGGTTCAAAAGTTATGGTGAAGGTAAAAGTTTGGG